AGTGACTTCCCCCTTATCTGTCCCTGAGTTGTCTTCCATGGCCTCTCTTTCTTGGAAAACCCAACCCCCCTCTTCCCTTCCTTCCTTTATATACTCTTCCACATCTCTATTTCCCCAACCAACAAACATACCTTCTCTACCTCACACTCTCTCTCTCTCTCTCTCTCCTTCTTCTCAATTTACAGATTGTCAATGGCTTCTCAGCAGAACCCACAATCCAATTTCCAAGATTTGCTGCCCACCATGGCAGACAAGCTTGGTGGGGATGGTTTAATCGGAGAGCTCTGTAATGGGTTCAATTTGTTAATGGATTCTAACAAGGGGGTCATCACCTTTGAGAGCCTCAAGCGGAACTCTTCTCTGCTGGGCTTGCAGGATCTGAGCGATGATGATCTACGGTCCATGTTGGAGGAAGGCGATTTCGACGGTGATGGGGTTCTTAATCAGATGGAGTTCTGCGTTTTGATGTTTAGATTGAGTCCTGAGCTTATGGATGAGTCTCGGTTGTGGCTTGAGCAAGCTCTTCAACAAGAGTTGAAGCATTGTTATTGATTTTTGTTTTTCTCTCTTTCTTAAACTGATTTTATGTTCTGGGCTTTTTGTATTTTCCTTTTTGATGTTCCAATTGAATTGGTAAAAAAAAAAACATATACAGAAATGAAATTGACATTTGACACGCACAATTCCCCTTTGTTTCTCGTATTAATTTCCCTTCTGTATCTTTCTTTAGACTGAAGTCTCAAATCAGACCCAGAAAAAATAAAAAGTCTCAATGAATTGAATGTATATACCAGACCAGAGGAGAAACACTTACTGTTTTGCTATTTCTGTCAATTACGGATAGTAACTTTTCCCCGTCGGGCCAGAGAGCTTCCTAGAAATGCTGGAAGTCCTTGTCAGCTCTTTGAATATAGACTTCTCAAGAAAAAGAGAGTGGAGGCTGGTCATCTTTGGGAAGGTTCTGGAAGCCATAAGTGTGTGTGTTTTATTTATTATTATTTTTTTGGCAGCAATTATAACGAAAGAGTAGTAGAATAAAAACTTGGATTTTTGTTTTTGTTTTGGGTTGGGTCTCTATTTCAAGTGTCGGTGGCATGATGCTAGGCCAGCCCAAGTTATTTTAAATTGGACTTGTTCATACTTCAAGCTGCCCATGAAATAATTGTGTAGAGTGGCCCGGCCTGGTTCGTGGGACCATCCTTTGCAACTCTCCTAGAGGTGTAAATGGGTTGTGTTGGGTCGGTTTGGTCTGTTTGGATCAATTCGGTTCGTCTAGAGTCAGTTCATTTAATAAACGGACCATGTTGGGTCCGCCTATTTAGATAAATCATCAATTCCGGCCCAAGCTCACAGTTCGAGTCCACATGGGCTCTGGCCGTACTCGTATCGGGCCACTAAACGGGCCGATATGGACCCATGCCAAATTTAACTTATGTATTGCATTTTTTTTGTAATTTTTTTACTACTTCATTTAAATCTCTTTTACACTTATGTATATACTAATAATATTTATTATTTGTTAAGAAAAAGAGGATAATAACTTTATTTAAAGTACATTTAAATAGAAAATTGATAGATTATTGTTTAAGTTTTAAAAATTGAAACTTGAAAACAAAATTATTATTTTGTATAGGGCTAACATCAAAAGACTCCCTAAAGAATTGGGTCATTTTTAATATGGGCCCCCAAGTTTCAATTTCATCAATTTACACCCGATGATTTTCAAATTTGACCAATTTAAGCATTTTGTTAAGTTGACCTTTTGGTCATACGTTGTGTGGTACTCAGATGCTATTTGGTTTTTATTTTACCATGCAATAATGATTCCATATTTTCGGTCTTTGTCACTCTTTTTTTCTTGGAAGATTCACTATTATATCCAATATAGGAGTCCAAATTATTAAAAAATCATATATGAAATAGGCTTTAGAAACACACTTAAAGTCCATTTACAACATAACAAAGAGGCTTTTAACTTCTTATAAATTACAAAATTGCTATCGATTTCTTAAAACAAGCCAAACCCAAAAACCTCATTTAAAAAAACCCAAAACACTTAATAGGGCATCAAAGTAATTTAATAATCAAAATTAAATTCAACATGGCAAACTCTCATTTTTTTGGTTTGTTTATAGAAGTTAAATGATATATCTATAACATTAATGCTAAGAATGGGTATATAACTAAATATCTCTTTTATATATGACTAAATATCTCTTTTTTTTGTTGGTTAAATCTTTGGCACTCAGATGATAAGAGAAAATTGCTAGGATAAGTGTGTGGCTGGTTTTTGTGGCTCGT